TTTTGTACAGGATGCAAAAGTTTAAGCTCTCACAAACAATCTGACTTTGTTTCCTCAATAAATGACTAACTTCACTTGGGTATAAATTTAATTACACATATTTTGGAATATTTTCCAGCCTGATCACCGATCATACCTGAAAACATCTGTGATATCTGTAAATGTGACTTACAGTCAATTACATCAACTCTAAGACAATTTTTATTTGTGCATTCATCTTGACTAATGTTCCAAACCATAGAATACAGTCCACCAGCGCTAAGTTGTTAATATATATCCCATGCATTGTTTTACATTAAAATACATCTTACCTGTCCACTTGCCTTGCCACCCTCCCCAAGATTGGTTTCATAATCCCTGATTGACTCCAAGTGTAGAAATCCATTCAACTCATTTATAAGTTAATCATGATCAGAAGTAGAACTCTACATCTCCCATGGATCCCAGTTTTGCTGGAGATAAAACAAGAGTCCTATTTTTCTCTCTGAGTTTGCTTCCTGCCATGCTGGCTGATACCTAAGCACATATACATATCTTGTTTATTCTTGGTTTTACTAACATATCAGGGGAAAAAAATACCCTTCTGGAAGGTAAAACTATGCATAACCCAGAGCTTCCAATTTAGGAATACTCCACACACAGAGACAAAGACCCACAACATCCATGAGAAGGCAAATTCAACTTCTACTTCACTTCCCTGTATATGCTGCTCTTTCAGCACATGCAATGACACGGTGGCAAAAGCTGAAGCTGCTAGCATCATGATGATGTCAACAGAAGGGACAGTCAGCCTGAGCACAGAAGGTGAGCTCCAAACAACATAGGGGTTCCATGTAACATATAACAAGCATCTAGGATGATTCTGGCTCTCTCAGATGGAAATATCTGACTCCAGGAGCATGGAGCTCAATGTCAGGCACCAAGGTCATCTATTCCATGTTGCTCCTCTGAAAACCCATGGCCCCCAGGCTAGTCTTTAATTGGCTTTCTGTACCGAATTCTCCTGTAGGATAAAAATTGACTGACTTATTGATTCAAGGATTCCATTCACTTGACAATTTTATTTATCCCCCCAAGTCAAGGGACTACCATTCTAATTTCTAAAGGGTAAATTAGTTTGGGGTGGGGGGGCTGCTTTTCACCTCTGAGTTAGTGACAGCAGCTTCAGGGCTGCAGAGCTGAAAGTCACGTCCACACGTGGGGCTTGCCAACCATAGCCACCAGTGGTCTCTGCCTCTGGGCCTGACCTTCTCTTCATCTAACAGACACCTTTGGGATGGCCTGGTCTCTGTTGCTGGATCTCTCTGTCTGTTCTGAACATATTTGTGTCACGTTGCTTTTTTATGTTTCTGAGATGCAATGTGACTCATCATTAATCTCAGGCTGTGCTAATGCCAAGAAGGCCAAGAGACAATGGTGCCTCTTCAGCCTGCCTTGGGTTGAAGTGGCACAGGAGTTGCAAGCAGTGTGCAGCCACTGACACCTACAGAAGCACAGAATGGTCCTAAGACAGGAGCGCTGGCAGCAGAGTTCACCGTGCTTGAACCACTCGGGCCTGTTTTCACATTTTATACCTCTTAGAGCACCAAATGCCTATTTTCTAGTACTTGTCTCTCAAGGGCCCCACAGTGTACATCCCAGCCCTGCAGGTGCAGGAAACTTGTCTTCATGAGTTCTCTCATATACTAAATAGAACTTTGGTGGGTGCACCTTAAGCATGAGATAAAAGAATGATGAAAAGAAAAGACAGTCTTTGATGGATATTTGCCCTTGTGTGCGGCCCAGTAATAGCTCTATACTTCTGATGAAAGGAAAATCTCCTGGCCTAGTGTTCAAATGACATTACAATAGAATATAATTTCCTGTGTCACCATTGAAACATAATAATACACTCATTTTTATTTTTCTTCTGCCTCATTCTAAAATACCTATGAAGCCCTTTGTGATAGCTAATTTGAAGAAATCAGGCCAAATGAGCCCCCAAAGGCAAGAAAAACCATTATTCAGAACTCAAAATCCATTTATTATGTTAAGTAAGTAAATAACTACATGATAAACCCACAACTCTTGCTGAAGCTTACAAATGACTCTCATTCTAAAATTGCCCAGATTTTGGACTGACTCTCCTGATCTTGTTAGGACTGTTAGCACATCTGTCTTTCAAAGGTCCCAAAGAGTTTCACGACCTTGATGAAGTCCTTGTGAGCTGCCTGGAGATTGGCAACAATTCCATAAGTACTTACATACACATTGTATTTGTGGCAATGTGGTGAGGAATGGGGAGAACAGCACAAGATGATCTCATGCCAAATACACAGGTATGGAGGAGCAGATGGGTGTGGGGCTGGAAGCCAGGGGCTAAAGTGTTCCTGTGTCCCTTCCCAATCTCTAAAGTTCAACTGCTTCTGATCAAACCAGGGAGTTTTATGGACAGATCTAAGAACTGTAGATTCTGAGGTTATTAAAAAAAATCATGAAGCATAATTTTCTCCATATTCTGTAAGAATATGTATTTAATTGAACGTCGTACACAGTAAAATATATGTCTCATTTCCTCTAGTTAAAAATTCCTTGTGTTTTTCTCCAAATATTAAGTCAAATAAGGACAGAAAAATCTAAGACAAATACAG